TTGAAAGAATTTAAAAATGTGCTTATGGAGAAATGTTTAAATAAAATATTGTGATCCTATATGCTATAATATTTATTAGGTATTTTCAATGTTGTACTTCTGAATCCATTAATACTGAAACATATAAAATTAAGTGAAGATGTATTTTTTGAGGAAAAGAAGGTACTAGCATATATTTGACTCCACTGTAAGAAAGGCATGTGGCTAGGCAGTGGTGGCACATGCCTTTAATCCTCAAACTCGGGACACAGAGGCAGACGGATCTCTGTGAGTTCAAGGCCAGCCTGATCTACAAAGCAAGTTCCAGGACATGCTCCAAAGCTGCATAGAGAAACCCTGTTTTGAAAAACCAAAAAAAGAAAGGCATGTGTGTTTGCGTCTGTGTTACAGATGCAGTTTGCACAGGAGGTCGGCTCAGAGCTTGAAATGGTTAGTACTAGATGTGTAGCACCGTTGGGCTTTTATGTAATTTTTTCTTCTTTACATTTATGTGTGTCCTGACATTTTTAAATATTGTGTAGAATCTTAATAAAAACACTGAATTACCTTCATTTTAATGGTAAAAGGTATGTACATACTTTGTGATTTATGTTTTAGAAAATGAGATCAATTTAAGGATAACAAGGTTTGTGTGTCTATATGTATGCATTATAAGACAGTAAGTATTTTGCAAAGATATATAATATTACTCTGTTTTCTCATGACCTTTTGCTGAATGTATGGTATTTCTTATGCCGTTTTTTACTGTTAGCTTCTCTCAGTTCTGCCTATGCTTGGTTAAGGTTGAGCTGACCTCACATATCTGACCTGATCCATCTGAAACTGAATGGCCCCATTAAGACATCTGCTGTGTTAATAAGAAGCTGAGTCCTAACCTCCACAGTGAAGCTTGATCCTTTCAATATTTAGCTAAGCAGAAAAATACTACATAGCATTATTGTGTAGATAGGAAGACTTCTCATGAGTAACCATTTATGACGATCTCTCTTGAGGTTTGGATCTTTGATAGCTCCAAGAACTTTTGGATGTTCATGGATTGAGCAACAAGAAGATAATTCTTAGTACAAATGATGTATCCAAACTCTCTAATTTTTAAGAACAGATCAAATGGAGAAAGCCGTGAGTAAGGGAGTACTGATGTACTCAAGATGAGTTGTAAGTACAGTGTTTGTACCCTTAGTCCTTTGTATTATGCAATGCTATCAGAGGCATCTTGGATTAGGTTATGCATGACAGCATTTTTAGTGTAAGTATGATTCAATCACAAGAAACAAAGACATTTAATCATTTTCTACTGTCAGTCCTGAATATTTAAGTACCAAAGTAATGCATCTTTGCATTGTATATGTTGGAATGTTTGATTTTAAAAATTGCTGTTTAAATTACTAACTTGAAGTTCATTTTAAAAAAAGTCAAATAAAGTTTAGCTTGAGATTGAGAGAATTTCCAATAATTTTTAAACTAATTCTGTGCTGGCTAGTTTTATGTCAACTATCTGATCAGAGGGTGCCTCAGTTAAGAAAATGACTTCATTAGTTCAGGCTGTAGGCAAGCCTGTGATTTTTTCTTAATTAGTGATTGATGGGGAGGGCCAAGTCCAATGTAGGTGATGCCACCACTGGACTAGTAGTCCTGCATTCTAGAAGAATGCAGGTTAATCAAGCCATGAGGAGCAACCCAATAAACAACACTCCTCTATGGCCTCTGTAAATGTTCCTGCCTCCAGGATCCTCCGTGCTTGAGTTCCTGCCCTCACTGCTTTTAATGATGAACTGTTACATGGAGCTATGACTAAAATAAATCCTTTCCTCCCCAGGTTGCTTTTGGTCATGTTTTTCAACACAGCAATAGTAACCCTAACTAAGACAGGCCCTAAACATGCTTTAGCAATTTGGACTACTTACTTACGTGGAATGCATTATCAAATTATCAGTTAACTCAAAGACCTTGCAGACACTTAGAATTTTGCTCGATCAAATGTTCAGCCAAGATTGAATCTTTTTGTAAAAATAAACAGTAACATCTACCTCATTAGTATGTAAATTGTATATAAATTGCTTTTATCTTTAATAAATTTATATATATGTAAACATACACATCACCAAGGTATTATCTAATTAATTATTCCTTTCATGGTGAACGTATTTTTCTAATATTTTGTGTACTTATTTGAAAGTTATTTATGATTAATGTCAGTAAATATTTAATTTCAGTCTCTATATACTATACACTGAGGAATACATAAATATTTCTGATGACAGCCTGGTGTGGTGGCTCCATCAGAGGCAGGCAGGTCTCTGTGAGTACAAGGTCAGTCTGGTCTACATTGTGAGTTTCAGGCCAACCAGAGTTACATGGTAAGAACCTGTCTCATTTAAACAAACAACACACACACACACACACACACACACACACACACACACACACACACACGCACACACGCACACACGCACACACGCACACACGCACACACACACAGCAAACAAACAAATAAACAAAAAACACTTCGTAGGACAAAAGGAGTCACAACTGGAAAAAGTTTAAAAAACTCCACTGTGTTATATGGTCACAGACACACATGAATGTTGAGAGTTTAATGGAGGGAGAGGACCTAATGGACAGAGACTGAAGCTCTTCAGTGAGAGGCATAGCTTACTGTGTATTTTCTGCTGAAATGTCTACAGTTTGGGTCCCAATGAAATTTGCCTCTAAGTTGTGCAACAAGTTGATTATTCAGTTCTGAAGCAGTAATAGTACTTGTTGAAGATTAACTTCTTTCTCTCAGGGTGTGATATGTAGACACAGTGTCATTGACATGCTAGAACTAGTTAAAAATGTGAGGTTTATTGAATCAGAAGTTCAGTGGGGGCCCAAAAATCTGAGGTTTAATGAGACTATCAGATGGCTGTTTTGTATATTAAAGTTTCACAAGCTTTGAATTGATTTATATATTTAGGTCTTTTTAAAAAGGAGAGGGTAGGTGAGCAACCTTCGTCTGGTCAACTCTAACCCGGGACTGAAAGCTATCCAAGCTCTCTGCTGTTGCATGAGTACTAGGGGTCTGCTTTTCAGAACAGGGCAAGTAGACAGTGATATCTTCATGCATGAGAAGAAGTTCGCTTTGAAAATTTATAGTCAGACGAGTAGGCCTATCATCACACCAGCTTGTTGCCCAAATTATCTTATTCCTTGTATGGTGAGCATATCCTTTTGTTTATTTGTTTGTTTTTTGAGTCAGAGTTTCCCTGTGTAACAGCTTTGGCTGTCCTGGAACTTGCTCTGTAGAACCGCCTAGCCTTGAATTCACAGAGATCCACCTGCCTCTGCCTCCCAGGTTCTGGGAATAAAGGCTTGTGACACCACCCCCTGGCTGTGGACTGTGAATATATCTTTTCCACCTACTACTTTACATGCTTTCTTGAATAATGAGAGAAAAAAAGAAAAAGTGAAAGGAATATAAAAGGATAATCTCAATTCTTAACCACACAAAGACTTCCAGTCTTGGAAGTCATAATCAAATAAAATCCAAATTTATTTATGGCCTTTGTAACCTTGTTAGAATTATGACATATGAAAATGTGAATAAAAATCAGTATACTGGCAAATTAAATTAACTCAGAGAAAGCCAAGAAACACATTTCTCACTTCTCAAGGGAAGAAAAGATACAGAATATCCAGGACATTATTATATGAAACTATTATTACATTAGGCTTCTTACTGTTTTCATTTTAGGCAGAAATAAAAAACAAAGACAAGTATTAACCTACCATAGATTCAATTCTTTCACTCAAATGCCTGTATTCCTGTGTAGCCGGGGAATTTAAAGCCTCAGTGTATTCAACATTTAGGATTTGAAAGCTGCTGTGGTAAAAGTAAGTTTTCTTGTCTGGAGAAGAAAGGAAGTCATGATTACTATAGTGCTACTAAGTAGATTAATTTTTATTTTGTGCAGCATTATTAGAAGTTATACAATTAAAATAGTATTCCTTAAGAGAAAGAAAAATCCATAATAATATAAATTTAGCAGGATTACTTTCTTTTGAGTTTTTAAAAGATTGACAAAGCTAATATTTTTAAGGTAAAAAATGTTGGACTAGCATGACTTAGCTCCTTCAAAGTTGTACAGAAATACTATAATTTTTATTAGTAATATGTCTAAATGATATTTTTTATTTACTCGCTCAGTAACAATAGATGTCTGTAATATGTAATTGTTCATTGGTTAAAAAAACCAATTCAAGTAATAGAATAGTTAAAAATTTTCCAATATTATTTTTAAAATTTAGTTATTTTATGTGAGTGTGATGTACTGGGTGCATGTATATGTGCTTAGATGTGTGTGTACATGTGTATGTGTACGTGTGTGTGTGTGTGTGTGTGTGTGTGTGTGTGTGTGTGTGCCAATGCTAAGTGTCTTCTTTTTTCTCCACCTTAGTTTTTTGAGACAAGGTCTCTTAATGAATCTGGAATTCATCACTCCAGCTAGACTTCTGGCTGACAAACCCCAGGATCTGCCAGTCTGTGCCCACTCCAGTTAAACATATTTGAATTGTGCCTGGAGTTAACATGTGTGCTTGGGCAGTTGACACTTTATACACTGAACGACCTCTCCAGCCCCTCAGGCAATAGTTTTTGTAGACAAATTTCCTGGAATACTCAAGCCTGTCTTTTCTGGTTGTTTATTGTGAGGGTTTTTTTTCCCAAAGGAATGTTCTGGAATAAACATTCAGTTTAAAGATGTCAAGAATCCTTGAAATACACATATTGACAGGAGATTATGAATATGGACACAACTTAGCAGAACCTCTTGAGAAAAATCCCTTCTTCTCTCTGATCATTCATACATGCAACCCATAGAGAAATAAGTATAACAAGAAAGAGCTAACGACACTAAGGGAAAAGAAGTTTGTTTAAATGGGGGTGGGGGAGGTCATTTTTATTTCATAAGTGATCACTAGAGTAAGTCTTGAATATGATCACCTGGGCACTTCTTCATATTTAAGTGTGACAGTGTAGTGTCATTACTTATCATAATCATTAATTTAATATGGAGCTCAATGCTATTTCTTCTTCCTCCATCTATAATTTATTTGAAGTTTAACTTCATGCAATTTGATGGTAAGAAGCTATGACAAACTCAATTCAGTTATAACCTTTACAACCGATAATCTGAAATGATTATTCCTCATTACTGTTTTTTTTTCTAGTATTGATAATGTTATTTTCAACTATTTTTGCTTTTTATAATAGGACATACCATAAATTGTGTTTTTTCTTGTTTTTATCCGTATTCATACATATCTATTTGCACACCATACATGAGGGTTAACATAATTATCCCTAAAACAAAATCAAAGTGTATTTTAAGGGAAATATTATATATTATCTAATAATATGTTTTCTATATTAAAGCTTCTGAAATAACATTAACCATTATATTATTTATATTATTATAAAATTACCATATATATGATTCATTTTGCTCATTAAAACTTCTGAAATAGTATTTATGAGGATCTAAAAACACCTCTTTATATATATTTATATATACATTTTTTGCATTAATTTTTTCTGTCCATGCTATCTAAATCAACTAATGATATAATATAAACTATTTTAAAGGTTAATTAATACTAAAATCATGTATCTCATTTAAAATTTGACATTACAGCTTTCTATTTCTCAGCAACAAACTTATCTACTGATTATAGTAGCTGCTTAGCTTGCAAGATTGCTTTCAGGACACAGTATGAGTTATCAAACACTAAGGCAAATCTGAGTTTCATGCATTTAGACTCAAGGTTTTTTGCAATATTTTACTTTCATAATTTTATCAGGTTATTAATGAAAAAAACAATCGTGATGTTAATAAAAGCAAAGCCATCAAATGTTAGCAGGAAAGAAGTAGTGAGAGATTTT